AGTCACAAAGACTCGAATCGAAATTAGATCGAAACCATGTCAATTGATGTCTTTTCTTTTTGGCCATCACTACTTCACACGCCCGCGGTGATTTGGACGGTTCTATCATGTCATACTCTAGTATTGTTTTCTACTTGCATCCAATTGATGAGGGGTCTTCCGCCTCGCCCCTCCCTTTGTGTTACCGCCGATTCCTCTGATTCTATTTCATGTTCAATAAAGTTACGACACTCAATGTCCGCCTAATGTCTCGAGAAAACGTCCTGATTCATGTCTTTGCTGGCTTTGTGCTGTTCGTCCGTTATTTTTCTCCTTAAATGTTTTATTTCTGGTTTTACCGGTTTGTTCATAACCTCTATACTCCTCGGTTGTGGGCCTGAAAACTTTCACTGAAAAATGAAGAGCTTAAATTTCCATCGTTTGTCTTTGATTTAAAGAAACTAACGATTTCCCCACGAACTAACGAAAAAAATTGTTTCGCTTCAAATTACTGAAGAAACAAAACCGGACCTCGTGATTTGAACAATCAAGAATTTAATATTTTTGAAAGTTTTTTTCACTCATTTCATAACTAGTTTTCACCAGCAGTGTATATCCTATTTTTCTCACCCTCTGGATTGTGATTGGTATATCAGGAGTATTCAACAAGCCACTGTCGCAGAGGCACCGTAGTGATAGAGAATGATCTTTTTAAAATAGCAGCACTTTGGCTCTTTGGATTCGGTACTACACATACCTGTTTGAGATTATTGAGTTCATTGAAGTTCCTCCTTGTCAAGTTTACAATTGCAGGCTTATTGGTTTTCAACATCATCATCCTACTCATGAAAAGTGGATCTTTACGCTCATGCGTCGTTGTAAAGTTTACCGTCTTTCTTACGTACTTCCTTTCCGGGTTTCCAATCCTGAATATAGCATTGATAAAAACTATCGTTAGGTCAAACTTCCTGATGAAATATCTGACCAAAATAAACTGACTAGATTTATCTAGATTCTATACTACCAGAAGGCTCTTCCACAGATTGCGCTACCCATATTTTGTGCTATGATCGGTGTTCTGCCAAGTAGCCTAAGTGCCCATCAGGTGGTCCCTATCGAATCCCATCTGTGTCCAGGTTTCAATTGGTATTACGCTCAAGACATCTCCCGAATCAAGTAACCCCTCCAGAACATCTTGCCCAGATGCATGACGTCCTCCTCCTCAAGAATGGAATGTGTAATGTCCAATTTATCTGACTCTGAGCACTTCTGAGCCAGGAAGATATGGCCCGCCAGTTGATCAGTCACAAGTTGTCATCGTCTTTGTATAAAACTTGATTCCATCTATATTTAGCATTACCTCGCGTGGAACTTACGTTTCGTCAAATCTGCTATCTATCCTTTTCCACAACCTCTTATCAATAGCGTTTTGAAGGATTCCGATAGAGTTTGAGGATAATAGAGCATTAACATTCCGCAAATATATCTATGTGTTTGGTCACTTGGTTAGCTCAGATTCCTCATCTCTTCGTGACCTCCTACAGTGATTACTGACATTATTTTTGCCCCAATTTTTGTGACCTCCAACGGCTTTCAGGTTTCCATCTTCAGAATAGTTCAATTGCTCTTCTCCTTAAGAGTGTCGCGTACCTCAGTCTTGGTTCCTTCCCCTGACAATAGTCCGCCTCTTTGCTGTTTTTCTATTTTTGTCTCAACATCTGCTCAATTTTTTCCGTTGCCAAATCCTGCTTCATTTTGTTTGTAGCGTCTGCCATGGCTTTCTGGTAATTCTGATAATCTCCAACGTACTTTGGGGATCTGCTCTTTGCTTTCCTTTTCTTCAGTTATTGCCTTTACGGATTTTGTTGTCAGTTGGACTTTCATCACATCTTTGTTCTGCCAGTCATTTTCTGCCTGTCTGTTTGTGGTGTTATGTATAGCTGCTAGCGCTAACTTGTGTTTCGGATGGTTCTAATTCTTCACGACTTCCCAAAACAGATGCCAATCCACTCTGAAGTGACCTTTTTGGCTACAGAAGAAACATCTCGCGCCAACCTTGAATATCAAGCCAACGTAAAATTCATGCTGCTCCATCGGGTTCATGTCGTCTTCATCCGATGCATGACCCAGGCTTTTCGTTCCTTGTTTATTAGAGGTTGCAATCCGCTAGGTACTTCCTTTCAGGGTTTCCAATCCTGATTATAATATTGACAAAACCTATCGTTACGTCAAAATTTCTGATGAAATATCTGCCCAAAATGAACCAATCTGATTTATCTAACTCTCCACTTACAGAAAGATCATCTACAATTGCGTTACTCCATATTTAGGGCTAGGATCGGTGTTCTGCCAAGTACCCTTAGTGCTTCCTTGTTTGCTGCCGACAACCAGATTCTGATGTCTATCAAGTGATCCCTATCGAGTCCAATCCGTGTCCATGTTCCAATTGGTATCACGCTCAAGACGGCTCCTGTATCTAGTAACGCTTCGAGGACGTCTTCTTCCGTTTATATCAAGTACATGGGCAGACACGTCCACTTCCGTGCCCAGATGCATATCGTCCTCCTCAAGCATGACGCATTGTCCAATTGATATGACTTTGAGCTCCACTCGTCCCAAGAGGATCTGGGCCGCCAGGTGGTTGGCCACAAAATGTCATCGCATTTGTATAATAGTTGATTCCATGTATATTTAGCATGACCTCGTGTGGACCATACGCCTCGGTTTATCTGATATCTATCCTTATCGATTTTCCACCACCTCTTGTCAATAGCGCTTTGACGGCTTTCGATGGAGTTTAAGGATTAATAGGGCGCAAATGGTCCGCATATACATCTATGTGCATCATTTTTTGGTCAATTGGTTCGCTCAGATTCTTCATCTCTTCGTGAACACCTACAGCGATTATCGACATTACTCTCGCCCCATATTTTCGTAATCCCGAACGGCTCCCAGGTTTCCATCTTCAGAATATTTCAATTCCTCCTGACTTTGAGAGTGTCGCTTACCTCAGGTTCGGTTGCTTCCCTGACAATGTTCCGTCTCTTTAGCATTTTTCTATTTCCTGTCTCAACCTCTGCTCAAATTCTTTCGTTGCCAAATCCTGTTTCATTCCGTTCATAGCGTCTGCCGCGGCTTGTTGGTAATTCTGATAATCTCCAAGGTTCTATTGGGTCTGTTCTTTGCTTTCCTTTTCTTCAGTTACTGCCAGTTACGGATTTTGTTGACAGTTCATTTTTATCACGTCTTTGTTTCGCCCGTCATTTTCTGCCTGTATGTTTCTGGTGTTCTGTTTTAAGCTAGTGCTAACTTGTGTTTCGGGTGGTTCTGAGTCTTCCCAAAACAGAGGGCAACCCACTCTGAAGTAACCTTCTTGGCTACAGAAGAAACATATCGCGCCAACCTCAAGCGACTGTAGAACTAATGTTGGTGTTTTGTTTCTGGTGTTCTGTTTTTAGCCAGCGCTAACTTGTGTTTCGGATGGTTCTGAGTCTTCACAAAACAGAGGGCAACCCACTCTGAAGTGACCTTCTTGGCTACAGAAGAGACATATCGCGCCAATTTAAAGCCACTGTAGAACTAGTGCTCCTCCATCTGGTTCATGGCATTTTCATCCGATGCATAGTTTGTTTGTCATCCGTTCATCCGATCATCCCATGTTTGTTAGAGGTGCAATCCGCTACGTGCTGATCTGCTGACCCACAGTTCGCTCACGATCTGCTCTTGTCCATATCAATTCTCGGCTTGTACCATGTAAGTTTCTGCTGTTGGCTCCCCCTTTCTTTGGCTTCATTAACATCAATTACTGTCTCATCTCTTCTGGAGTTGGTGCAATATCTTTCGATATCGTTATATAGTTTGTCCACATCGTTCTCAAGTGGTCACTCTTAACCCTGTCGATGACTTTTGATGCAATGCTGACGTTATTCCTGGTGGACTCCTCCGGATCACTCCTTCTTTTGATGCTCTCGAGGTCATCCAAAAATCGATCAATCAATTTGTCACCCATTTGCCTCCTCTTCTCAAAACTCATTATGGCTTGATGTCCCTTCATTCCAGACATTCCAGAGCCGAAAGCAATCAATAATTTATTGAAAATCTTGTCCGATGTATCCCGTTTTTCTTCTTTCTTTGCTACGACGCACTTTAGTTTTGAGCCCTCCAGATTGCTTAGGATCGCTGTGCACGCTTGTCTTCCATATTTCAAGATGTCCTGCTCTAGTTCTAATTTAATCACTTCAACCCACGTGTCAATGCACCCAGCACCCATCAGACTTGTCCTTGACGTCTTTAGGTTTCTTCAAAGTTTTTCTCGATATGTCGCCACCTCTTTCTCTTTCTCGAGGCAAATGCTTCAAGTGTCCTAATCATCACTTCCTAATTTTTTGCCCATAGCGTTGCATCAGGTGTTAAACTTGGATGAAAATCTGGTTCCTTCTGAACCCTGTTCGAAATTGATGCGCTTCTGTCGGCTGATATCACTGGGTCCGTTCCTATGATCTTATGGATTGGAGGCAGTGAAATGGATTCTTGTTTCTTGCGCTTTGGCTCTTCAAAGTTTACTCTTGTTCCAGGTTGTTTTGCTGTTTTCTCTTGTAGTGCTTTATCTTTGTAAAAGACTTTCTCAAGAGTGCATCCAATTTGGACTGTATGGTGCATGAACTCTCTGCTAGGTCTCTGCACACAATATCCATTCTTTTCTCTAATTTCCCTTGTCGTTTACGTTTTCATACTGTTCCCTCACTTCTTCCAAGTCTATCTTGATAAACCTTTCCCATTCCTTGTCAGTCGGGTCTACTTTTTTTTAGCTATTTGTAATAACTTATCATCCGTTCTCGTGCCATAGTGAAGTAGTTATCTAATTTCTCATTTTTGTTATGCCTGATCTCCTTTTTCAATTCTTCCCGGTTTCCGTCACTATAATCGAGCTTTTTGTATAAACTGCTCTAGTTTTTGCATCAAGTCCGTCAAATCTATCGATAATTCATTCGATTCTATTGACTTTTCCAATGTAAATTTCTCTAATCCCTCATGGCTTCCGTGCTCTGTTCTCCTCTTTTACCGGTCTCTGTTGTTATGACGGAATCAGTCCCGAAGTTCTTACTTTTTCCGTTCCCAGTTACCATCAGTTTTCTCGGTCTCTCCCCACTAAGGCGGCAAATCTCTCCGTGAATGATGTCCTCTTTGACTGGGAATCGTTTTTATTGTTTCTGAGGTACTGCTAGTGATCTTGTTACCATGAACTATCGTGAGAACTTAATAGTTTTTGCTTCTGGCTCATCAGTGTTTGGAATTGGTGTTGACTCTGTTGTCTTTTTTTCTCGAGTCGACACCTTTCTCGGAGGTCTCTAGATCCTTCTCTGCAACTGGCACTATCTTGTTTCTCACGTTTTTAACCAGCAATGCGTTTTGTCTCGAGTTGTTCTTTGTTTTTCAGCTTATTCACCCTACCAACTGAAACATTTTTCTTCTTCAATCTCATTATCGTCATCACAGTTGTCAGTTTGAATGTCCTGTTGGACGATCTTGCCTTGCCGCGCCTCTGCCTTTCTCTGGTAAAGACAACTTTGTTCTCTTTTAATTCCCCTTTTCTTCTCAAGTGATGTCAAATTTAACTCTCAAGAGATTGACAAATTTAGTTAAAGTACACTTTTGTATAAACACATTTATTAATTAAAATGTAAGTTTTAAGAAAACGATTTTGCCAGTTAGCTAGCCTTTCAAAAACGAGTTCGATATAATGTCTGTATCAACAGTCTGGTTTAAAACTTAATGATCCTAGTGGTCGTTCGTGCTGTTATTAGTTCAGAGCTCTAGAGAATAAAAATTTTGTCCAATCTGCACCCGATCCGGTCAGACCACACTTTGTATCTCGAGTTCGCTATGGGGTACATTCGCGTTTCAGCTCTTGTTTCGTATCTTTAGTGCAATCAATGCTGGCTCTTGTTAATTTAAAGTAAGGGAATCGGCGGTTCCGATTGTTTCGTTAAAGTAATTTTGTCCCTCTTCTTACAATTTCCCCGTTATAGCCCTCCATTTAAATGAAAAAACACCTTAAGCGCGATGGGTGAAACCAATCAAGAGAAATCCCGTAGAACTCGTTTCCAAGCTCTGCTCTCGTCAAAAAAATTTGCTCAAGTCAGAAATGTGGGGGAATGATTAGTCATTATGATACCTATTTCCTAGAGTATAAATTTCTGTTAACGATACCCGTTTGACCCAAACAACATATTCCGGTGATCTCCTCCAGTAGTCACACTGCACTAGTCACACTCTGCTAGCCTCTTCTCCAGTAGTGTCCTGTCTTGAATTCTAGGATTTCATTCCGCTGAACCGCTTCAACTACTCTGAACCGCTTCAACAACTATTCAACTACTCTCATTTTCCAGTGAAGTCTCCCAGTTGTTATCCAAAGTTGCAAGGCTATCTGAAAACCCCTTCAACGCCCCTTCTTTCATGAACCTGTCAAACACTGCTATTGTGATCGAAACGACCGCTCTTAATGTAAAACAGTTTAAGTATAAAAGTAGTTTAAAAAAATCCGATCCTTCTAATCTGGAAATCAAACTTACTGTCAGTTTTATAGTTTTTTTTGGTTTTCATTTTAATATCTATTCCTTTGTTGTTTTTTCTTTCCTTTTATGTCTTTTAGCCGTTGTTTTGTTTCTCTAGTGGCCCCCCATACTCGGTTAGCTATGCCTCCTATCCAAAAGCACACCATGAAAATTTCACAAAATTTCCCAAAAAGCTATTACGGTGCGACTACAGGGTACTATAGAATGGGTACGTAGCACGGAGCTGTGTCAGGTGGAATCGATCCCGTATTCTTGTTGCCGTAAAGACCCAGGAGTGCCATAAAAACACTATGTAACAGTCGTCCGCTTACGTCACATATGAGGTCAGAGGAATAGGCCCTGAAACCATTGGGTCAAGGGTCAGGGCAACTACCTCTTGTTTTTTTATACCTCGTTCTGTCGGAGCCAATTTGGTTTGCTTAAGACATGGGATTTCAAGATCGTGTTACAGCCTGAAGGCTACTACCAAGCGCCCCACTCTAAAAATAAGAACGTCCCATGGTTTGTAAATATCTAAAAAATTCGAACGCTTTTTTAAAAACAGAATTGGAAACTCAGGTAAATCACATTAGCTTTTATTGAACAGTTGACCTTTGATCCATTTCAGTTGGTTCTGCCTAAAACCCGCCTTAACTCAACATAACTCTGTAAATTGCACTCTAGAATTTAAATTCAAAACCCTCACAGTGACTACGGCTCAGGAATCGACTAAGTAAACTAATAAGAAAAAACTCAAGAAACTTTGTTGTCTTGTTTTAACTCTTATTTCAAAGTTTTTGTCTGGACTTTTGGGCCGCTTCACTCGTCGACCTGCCCAATCAAGGTTCTCTTTGACCAGTGATGAAACTCTCGTAGGAATTTTTGGTGTTATCTGTCGGGATCATAACAAATCTACTCGAATGATTTGTTTTTGGGCAAATTGCGAATAGCAATTTGACTCGAAAACAATTTTCCAACAATTTTCCCGCATTTTTAAATCTGTTGCTGAGATAAACGTGAGCTTCACATAGCCAATTCAAATTTTTTTTAAAAACAAAACATTTCACTCCAAAATCAAGATAAGACTCCAGAGTATAACCGACTGGCACATGATTTAACTTCTTTTTATTTTTCAGTTGGTTTAGTTTTAGGGTGATGAAATTGTTTATTTTGTGTTGTTAATTTTTGTTTGTTCTAGTATTGAGTGTTCTGGAAGTGTTGTAATACTTGCTGTTGGTGGTGATTCAATGATATGAAGTCCTGTAAATTAGGAAAATGGTGTTAATTTTCGATGAGCGTACTCTTATGTGTTCTATCTCTATTTAAAATCCACTCGGTATAGGAACTAGAGGCTAAATTTAACTTTTGTGGGTGATGAAAATAATCGCCATCATGTGTATAAGGTGGTAAGTTATAACCTACTGAATCTTTTGATGGTTTGCAATATCCTTGTGAAATTTTTGATGACGAGGTTTCGGAATGAAAACATTTTCGTATTGTGATAAACCAAAAAGTGTGGTAATTTCTGAGTTAAATGCTATTGGTAATAATTTTACGTCTCTTGACTATTTGGTGTGCTTATTTTCATTTCCTTTTAAAATGCATCTTAAATACTCTTGTAATGAGCAATTCAATCCTTCAACTAAGCCGTTTGTCGATATCAATATGCGGGCCATTTTCATCACTAATGAAGACTCGTGAGAGGAGCTTAAAACATCTCTTACATCCTTTTCGTTCGAACGCCTCTCATAACTTGTTAATTTTGAACTCATTGAACTTACGTTGTGTTGGCGATCTATGTACTGCAAGTTCGGCCATTGGGTTGGACAGAACAGTCGAACTTGTTTGCGTTTTTCAAAGCTCTACTCCAATTGACGGTAGGTTTTTGCTACCTACGTTTGTGTTCCGCTGCTCGCTTTTCATATTTATCTAAACGAAATCAAACAAAATATATATAAATTCTTCTCAAGATAAAACTAGCTTTGCTCAGATGTTCGAGCCCCGTAGAGCCCGTACCCTACGTTTGGTCTATTTTTCTGTTTCAGACCTTCTCTCCCTGTCTCCATAATTTGTTCCAAATTTTTTGAGTTTAAATTCAGCAAAAGCCGGTATTTAACCGGAAGTATTTTTAGCAGCTTCTTCAATTCTTGTACACAAACATCCACAATCTTCTTTTCAAAGTTTTATCCGAGACACTTCACTCGTTTCATTTCCCCGGGCTTGGAAAAGTCTCAATTTTTGATATTAAATTGCTTCGCAACTGTGTTTGTTGACGAATGATTTGTTTTTGAGCAATTTGACTCGAAAACGATTTTCCAACAATTTTCCCGCATTTATAAATCTGTTGCTGAGATAAACGTGAGCTTGACATGGCCGATTCAAATTTTTTTTAAAAACAAAACATTTCACTCCAAAATCAAGATAAGACTCCAGAGTATAACCGACTGGCACATGATTTAACTTTTTTTAATTTTTCAGTCCCAACACTAATCAGAACATCACACAAAACTGTATCGCCCCCCCCCCTCCGGTTTTTTACCAAAGGCAGACATTCCTTGCTGGGTAGGTACGCAGTCAATTCACATACGCTTAACCTTTGAACTAGTTCTTTATAGAGACGGTAACTTGTTAATAGATATTTTAAGGGGTGGATGGGTAGTCGAAGATTTAGAGATCTCCATTGTATCTTTTAATTGTAACGTGGCAAACTCGCAACAAAATAGAACTCGCAAAACTTACAAACTCGAGAAATCGCAAGGTTTTAAAAAATTATCTCGAACGCGGACATGGTAAATAGCGACCACGTGCTCCGTTGTGCTTATATTCAAGTCGAATGGTATAATGAATCAGTGTTTTTATTTAATCTAGAGGTTTTTCTGATAGCAAAAATGAGTTCCTTATTTATTTTTATTTTGAAGTTCTTTATTTTTGCAAGTTTCCGCGTTCTCCGCGTTCTCCGTGGGTTTATAAAGTTTTTTACGACAACCCAAAAATCTGGGGTTTTTATTTTATATCTGAAGTGTGATTAAACTCTAAAGAAGTCGAAAAAATTTACACTCGATAATTTTTAAACAAATGAGGGGAGGACGAGGAAAAAATACCAGAAGAAATTTTTGATATTTCTTGGTTTTTTCTCCGAGGAAGGTTTTAAGATAGAAAAACCAAATTAGAGAAAGTAGTTTGACAGAAATTTAATAATTAAAGATTATAATAGCTCTTACGAAGGTTGTCCGGTTGCACATTGGCAAAGAACTCAGAGTCCAGCGTTTGTCCAGAGTAGATATTGACGAAAGAGTTGCTGGGGTCGCCATACTGTCTGGCATACCCAGTCCAGAAACCCAACTCAGCTAGATGAGCTGGATCTTTAGCGATGGCAGCTCCGTAGTGGGACCACATGTGGTTTCGAAGGGTTTGCTTGAACACGTTTTATAGCTTCACTATGGAGAAAATTTTAGAAAAATCACCGGAAATTCTATAGAATTTAGAGTATTTTTGCCTGCAATTTGCCGGTTAGTACTGAGAAAACTGAATAAAATCCAAAGTGAGGGTTTTAAGAAACAATAATTCAAAAAAACTTTCGGTTGTTTATTTAAATTGAAACACATATCTTGTTTTTTATTTCTTTAGGTTTGAAACAAGTTGAAGAATTGAAGAAACAAAAAGTTCAACCGCTTTCAATTTTTTGGAAAATATATATTTATATAAACTCCAACAGCAGTTATGGTTAGATAAACCGCAACACATGTTTGCTAGATTAGAAATTCTTAACTTGCTCAATTTTAATACCTTACAAAGGGGATCCAAAAACCATAAAGATACAAAGTCTTAAAAAACCCAAAAACCCATAAGGGTTCTGTGTTGTAGCATAATTTAATTGGGTAATGCACATGACCTACCTGGTCTCCGACTGTGTCGAAAGTAGCGAGTGTGGCCCCTCCTTCGAATCCACAGGCCACGACTGCCTTGTCATGGCTCACGGGTCCCAGAGCCAACATCAGTTTGTAGCAGTGGGGAAGTCCTAAAACCACACCTCAGAAAATTACTCATAACTCAAAATTATTTCAATATTTATTCTTCAAATTAGGCATAATTTTCAAAATTTTAGCGGAAAAATAGTACCTATAAAAATCTGAAGTGAACTAAGCTTAGACAAGCCTCTGATAGTTTTTCGTAAAAAATAATAACGTGGTTCCTGCGAATATAAATCCTCCGCGAATCGAAGAAATCACTGGCAGTTTTTTTTTAAATTGAAATAATAACCCTAAATTTGCAAAAGCGAGATATGTTTGAGCTACATTATTTGAAAACATAGCCGTCTTTCTTCAATTGGACCTAATTTTTGGCGGAAAAATTTATCACTGTTCGTAAAAAAAAAACGTTTAATCTAGTTTTCTTCTTTAAGTTTAATCATACAAAACAACCACGAAAACCTACGAAACTAACGGGAACGACATACGAGTTCTTTAACCATCATGAAATCTTTCTTCTTCAGGAAAACAAACACGAGTTGTGAGCAGCACACATTTTATCACAAGCTATTTCATTTGTTTCAAGGTTTTTCAGGTATAAATGAAAACCAGTTATTTCGCAATTAATTCGCTTATTACAAATAAAAACAGAACTGATACTGTACCTGCTACTTGCTCGAATCCAGGAGGACATTCTGAAAAAAGAAAATTCTGATTACGAAAGAAAAAAAAGGTGACTGAAAATGCAATCAATGTTTCTAGTTTATTTTTTAACCTTCCACGCATGAGGGCGGTGTAGCCACATTGCCACCGGCTCTGAAAAAAATATGAGTTAGTAGAAATCAAATTTTGACCCCGTGAATTTAAATTTTTGTTTAAAGTTAGCTGTTTTATTATTCTCAATAATTTTGAAAACCGAGGAAAAGCCTGCATTTACTTATTAACTAAGAATGATTAATTAAAGATTATGGTGATAGGGTTTGAGTTCAATTCTTTAATCATCTAAGTAAGTAATGCTACGTTTTCAATTAGATGTTTTTAATGTATATTGTTTATGTATAGATCCTCTACAAATCAATCAAACCACAATTAACAATTTAATTAATTTGAAGTTAATGTCGTTTATTTTTGATTTGTCTAAATTCTGTATGAATTTAAAATCCGAAATTCATATGAATTTTAATTTTTAAGCAATACTCACTGAGCGCAAACCTGAAGGATGGCAAAAATTATCAGTTTAGAAAAAGTTGACTTCATTCTGGTGAAAAAATCTAGATAATTATTCCACTGAATAACTAACCCATCTCTGAAACTCAGGAAACAAAAAGCGTGCCAGATTTTGCTCGACCATCTTCATCTGTTACACGATGACAGTTTGCCAGCAAAAAAGTTTAATTCAAATTGGTTCGACAGACAGTCATCACTCAAGAGAGACGATACAATCCTCTTTTAAGGCAAAAACAACCATTGGCATTTTTTGGCAGTTGTCCGAAAGATTGGACAATTTAGACAATTTGGAAAAAATTTGGGCCTTTCTCCACGTTTTGTTTTTGTGAATAGAAGCAAATCGGTTTGATGAATTTAAGCCAAACTTTTTTGCCAGCAGTTTCTAACAGCTTGAAAATAAAACCAAAACTTGGCATACCTGTTTTGAAATAAGAAAAATTTAATTCTTCAAGTTACCAGCTCCATTGTAAGTTTCTTTTCTAAAATCAACCATATTTGAATCCATAGCAGATTTAAGCTGGGGATAAGGGCGGAGGCGTTCTTTCATTCCGAGGGATTTTTGACTACCAGACAACCAAAAGAATTATTTGGGAAAGCTATGAAAATAAAAACAAAAAAATTGACTTTTTTTTTTGAAAATGCGCATTTTGAGAAAAACTAGATCCATGTTAAGCTTTTTGTTAAGCCACTGAAAGCTTCAAATTCACAACTTCCATTTTTTAACTTTTGCCAAATCAAACGATAAACCTTTTTTAGAGAAATTAGTCAAAATTTATTGGTTGGAAACCATTCAATTTTGATTCGAACTGTTTTTGAGTAAAAACTTTTCAGTGCTCATAAACTAAATCATTGTCAAGAATGATCCTATTGAAGCAAAACCCTGAATACCGAGTGCACTCTAGCGTATCTGATGTTTTTTGGCGGAAAATTTTAAAATTTCAAAAAAAAGCAATTGGAAACAGATTTTCAAAAAAGCAATTGGAAAAAAAGCTGATTTTCAAATTTTGCTGACCTTACCTGACACGCTCGGCAAGATATACTTAGAGCCAAAAATTTTTTTGACTCAATTAACTCATGGCATTTCAATCTGGACGAAGATTTCTGAGCGGGGTGATTTCGCCAACAACACAACGTACATAAAAAATCCAAATTCGCGCGCATAAGATATTCTAAATTGACTTTTCAAATCCTTATCACTACCCCATAGAGAGTCCTAATTGAAACAAGGCTAGCCATTTGTTGTGCAAGTATCACAGAATGTTTCGACAATAGTCTTTAGAAAACTACGGCTTAGGAAGTTTTTTTTTAATTAGTGTAGCTTTTTCGGTGTCATAAAAGGATCTAATATAAATATATAGTTTAGGCATATTAGACCTATACCAACATAAGCGAAAAAAAATGTGTGGAAAAATGACTAGAAAAACTTAAAAAAGATTTTTAAAAAGTATTTTATTTCAATTTTTTTTTCAGAAATGCAGCTAAAAATATGCGACAAAAAACTCTAGAAATTAGTTTTATGGGCTTAAAACTAAGTCGCAAATTATGCATGAACTAGGCATTTCAGCTGTTGTAAGTCTGTTCGCTTGCTTTATTCGCTCGAATTAAGACGAAAAATCAAAAACTTCAAACCGGTTTTTTAAGGTGGTTGGAATCAAGAATAAAACGGCTTTAATATAATATATCACTCAACTCAGTCCAATAATTATTTGTGGTACCTAACTTTGCGTGGAAAACAAAGAGAAAAAAAATCGGAACAATAACCTCTTTGCTTTGAGCTCAAGTCACAGATATTTTTTGTTTGGTCTTAAAAATTTTCGTTTCAAGCAATTAGCTAAAAATTATGAAATCGAAAATGAAGTCAATAACAGCAAGAAGAACTGGTCGTTAATTATTTAGCACAAAGGGCGGAGGCGTTCTTTCATTCCGAGGGATTTTTGACTACCAGACAACCAAAAGAATTATTTGGGAAAGCTATGAAAATAAAAACAAAAAAATTGACATTTTTTTTTGAAAATGCGCATTTTGAGAAAAACTAGATCCATGTTAAGCTTTTTGTTAAGCCACTGAAAGCTTCAAATTCACAACTTCCATTTTTTAACTTTTGCCAAATCAAACGATAAACCTTTTTTAGAGAAATTAGTCAAAATTTATTGGTTGGAAACCATTCAATTTTGATTCGAACTGTTTTTGAGTAAAAACTTTTCAGTGCTCATAAACTAAATCATTGTCAAGAATGATCCTATTGAAGCAAAACCCTGAATACCGAGTGCACTCTAGCGTATCTGATGTTTTTTGGCGGAAAATTTTAAAATTTCAAAAAAAAAGCAATTGGAAACAGATTTTCAAAAAAGCAATTGGAAAAAAAAGCTGATTTTCAAATTTTGCTGACCTTACCTGACACGCTCGGCAAGATATACTTAGAGCCAAAAATTTTTTTGACTCAATTAACTCATGGCATTTCAATCTGGACGAAGATTTCTGAGCGGGGTGATTTCGCCAACAACACAACGTACATAAAAAATCCAAATTCGCGCACATAAGATATTCTAAATTGACTTTTCAAACCCTTATCACTACCCCATAGAGAGTCGTAATTGAAACAAGGCTAGCCATTTGTTGTGCAAGTAGCACAGAATGTTTCGACAATAGTCTTTAGAAAACTACGGCTTAGGAAGTTTTTTTTTAATTAGTGTAGCTTTTTCGGTGTCATAAAAGGATCTAATATAAAAATATAGTTTAGGCATATTAGACCTATACCAACATAAGCGAAAAAAAAATGTGTGGAAAAATGACTAGAAAAACTTTAAAAAGATTTTTAAAAAGTATTTTATTTCAAATTTTTTTTCAGAAATGCAGCTAAAAATATGCGACAAAAAACTCTAGAAATTAGTTTTATGGGCTTAAAACTAAGTCGCAAATTATGCATGAACTAGGCATTTCAGCTGTTGTAAGTCTGTTCGCTTGCTTTATTCGCTCGAATTAAGACGAAAAATCAAAAACTTCAAACCGGTTTTTTAAGGTGGTTGGAATCAAGAATAAAACGGCTTTAATATAATATATCACTCAACTCAGTCCAATAATTATTTGTGGTACCTAACTTTGCGTGGAAAACAAAGAGAAAAAAAATCGGAACAATAACCTCTTTGCTTTGAGCTCAAGTCACAAATATTTTTTGTTTGGTCTTAAAAATTTTCGTTTCAAGCAATTAGCTAAAAATTATGAAATCGAAAATGAAGTCAATAACAGCAAGAAGAACTGGTCGTTAATTATTTAGCACAAAAAGTTCAGATCAGAACCATTTGAGAGAAAAAAATCGAAAATTGAGAAATAAAAAAGAGTTTTCCCGCTGCTTGTCAACATCAAATATTTAGCCCTCGGACGGTGAGTTTTTGTTTGTTTTGAAGGGCCCATAAATTGCTGTAGGAGCAAAAATTGGAAATACATAAAAACCTTATTGGATTTTGTCACCCGCACCGAGCGCCCATGAATCATAGTCAATTATACTGTCAAAACTCTATCACCATCTGTAAAATTACAAAATAATCGATTATAATCCATTATATTGGCATAAAAACATTGGGATTACAATCCATTTTAATGGGTTATATTCGATTATAATGGATTATAATGACATCAAAAATTATTAGGATTATAATCCATTAAAAATGGATTATAATCTTAATAATTGCTGATGTCAATATAATCCATTATAATCCCAATGTTTTTAATGCCAATATAATCCATGATATGTTATATATGAATTTAGTAATAACACCAACAAGATAAGTACTAGTAACACATAAAAACGGTACCATACGTACTGGTAAGTACCGGTACGTACTAGTACATGTACTGGTATCACGAAAAAAAGTACTTTTTTCACGCTATAAATATTTTTTTTTTGAAAAATTTTAGTCGGAATAATTAATTTTATCAAAACTATCAAGTAGAACATAGTCAAAACAATAAAAATGCGAAAAAATTGATTTTTCATTCAACAATTACTTCATAAGCTTTTCAAATACTGAGCGGAAAACTAGGTTAAAATTGACCTTTATATTGGCAAAGTACCAGTAACTCTCAAATTGGGTGCCATACCGTACTAGTACATAAACTAGTACCGGTACCATTTCAACCCTATTTGAACAATTAACGCGCGATATTTTTCGCGCATTTGACGAGTACGCGGAGATTTAATTCAACTAAGAAATTTTTCCAAATTTTTTGAAAAGAAGTTTATTTCCCATAGCCGATTTGAGCAAGATTTATGATTTTATACGTTATTTGGCGTGTGAGAGGATGATTTTCCCAAAAAATTTCAAAATTTTTCCACAAAAAATTTTATTTTATTTTTTATTTCTTTGATTTTTCATTCATCTCTTTATGATAATTGTTTGTGTTTTGTGATTTTTTTTCACACTGAAAGTGCACTTAGAGTTTTGATATACCTAATTTTGAAGTTCCACATTGGTTGAAAAATCTGGCTCATGGTCTCATATCAACCAAACTATATTCAAGTGGTTGTAAACATGCCTCATGATGGACGGAAGTTATGTTGGAAAATTCTTTTCAGTCATTTTCATCCAATCAGAATTGAGAATTAAAAATCTCAAACTCGCAAAAATCTCAAAGTGAGGAAATTAGTCCAGACCATAAATAATAGTATTGACGGATTACAAAATTAAGAGATTGCAGATGAAAGAATTTTCAAACATTGCCAGATCAATGGTTTATTAGAAAAAAAACCTATCTTTTCACACATTTAGGATTTAGAAAATATTGAAAAATACAACGCCCAATTTGTTGTATCCGCAAAAACTGTGCATGCTTTCTTTCATTTTCAAATAGGTTTTCAATATCGTTCAGTGATTAAATGATAGTATCTAAATCGGTAATCAAACTCTCAATTACTTCAAGCTTGTCATAATTTGTAATTAAACCTGTGATTGTTTTAAATAACGTGTCTGACTCACTTTCAATCACTTTTAAACGATTATCATCTAGCAATGCGGTTTCAAAATCACTTTCAGTGATGTTTCTATCTGAGTTCATTTTTGAAAATTGTGA